TCGTGTTACTTCCCTTTGACAGAATGGAAAACCGAGGCTTATCAGCAAGACAGGAATTAACAAGTGTACATCATGATCTAGACAGACAAAAGTGCAAGGTGAATGGATGTGTTTCCTAGGCCATAATCCTTTGGAGTATAGGTACATAATAATTACTCAATAAATGTACGTTATTCCTATTATGCTAAAAAAAAGAAAAAAAAGGAAAAAGAAAACCAAGGCTTAAATATGCAGGACACATAATTGTTAAGACTCTCATATCTGCCTGGGTCTGAATTGTAGCTCTGCTATGAAACGTGTTCATTCAGTCTATTAGCCCAACCTTTCTGAGCCTCAGTTTCTTCTTCTGTTAAACAAGGCTACTAATAATTGTTACCTGCCAGTGTTGTTGGGAGGATTAGGTGAGTAAATATGTCAAGGACTAGACCCAGAGCCGGCTTCATGGGCAAGCAGCCTGCAGAGCCACACAGGACCCCATGCCAGGAGGGGTCCCACATGATGATGCCCTGCTGTCATCTTGAAATCCTTAATCGTGTTCATCGAGGGGCCTCATATTTTCATTGTGCGCTGGGCCCCCTAGATTTGGTAGCCAGTCCTTGGAACCGACGCTGGCATGTAGTAAAACCCACAGTAAATGCTAGCCGTTATAATTATCAAAGGAACTCAGCACCTTACCTGCAGTCATCCAGTGATGCAGCCTGGATTTGATCCTGGATGTGTGTGTGTGTGTGTGTGTGTGTGTGTGTGTGAGAGAGAGAGAGAGAGAGAGAGAGAGAGAGAGAGAGAGAGAGATTTGTGACAATACACTACACACGTCAAGGACTTACAGCAGTGGTTTTTAAAGCTTTCTTTTCATTCCCAGTTGCTGGTCTTAGGAAGTCTTCAATTTCCACATTGGTGAAATGTGGATTAAGAGAACCCACTTCACAGACTAGTGGTTAAGCAGCGTGCTGACCCACGTCTCCCCAGACCTGTGGGATGCTGGCTGCCCTTTCTGTCTCTGAGTCTTCTCTCTCCATCTCTCTCCAGGGACAAGGAGGCTGGACCCTCAACAGCTCTGGCTGTCTCCTGGGTTCCAGTGACTGAGCCTGCTCTGAGCGCTCCATCCCTGGCTCGTGCCTGTGAGCAGTGCATTGGCAACCCTGTAACAACCCTAAACTCACATTCCCGCAAGGCCACGGGCTTTATTTCCTGACCTGTCTTGAGGGTTAGTCTAGCGGAGTGATGGGCTGCATGGATCCTGGAGCCAGAGCGCTGGCTTCAAGTCCTGGCTCTGCCCCTGGCTTGGTGTGCCGCCTTCATCTCTCAACGCCAGAGTTTTCTCATTTGTGACAATGGGTATAACGATGTCCCCCTGCTGCATGGAGATGCTGTGAGGATTAGATAAACTACAGCAATTCCTGGGAGGATCCTCCACCCTCTCTCCCCATTCCCCCAAGCACATCATCATTGGGTACTTGCTGTATACTTGGGATGTGCTGATTCATGACAGTTAAATCAGTCACATGCCAACATCCCAGTGACACAACGGTGTGGCAGAGCAGAGAGGATGTGACGTCTGGATCCAGATGCAGTTGGGCTCAAACCCCAGTTCTGCCACTTAGTGGTGGGATAACGTTGAGCAAGCGTCTACTTGTCAAAGCCACAGTCCGCTCCCTGGCAAGTAGGGATGGTGAGCACGTAGCCTGTTCCCCCGGATTTGGTGGAGGTGCCCCATCCGATGAGCCGTGCTCTGGGTCTGCTGGATTCTGTGTTCTCCCTGCCTTTAACGACCACCTGGTCGTGCCGCCCCCAATCCCCGGCCAGGACTGATGGAGGCCGGAAGGAGAAGATAGCTCTCGGGATCCTAGACCTGTGGAAGGCCACTGGTGAGCGAATGGGTAGTTAGACTGCCCTGCCTTCCATCCCCAGCACTCTACTCCACCTGCCTGTTGCTGGCTTTGGAAACGGTTTTTTTTTTTTTTTCAACCGTAAAATAAATTTACTGCTGATAACTTTATAGAATTTACTCGCTGTTTTTTTTTTAAACATCTTTATTGGAGTATAATTGCTTTACAATGGTGTGTTAGTTTCTGCTTTATAACAAAGTGAATCAGCTATACATATACATATATCCCCATATCTCCTCCCTCTTGCGTCTCCTTCTCTCCCACCCTCCCTATCCCACCCCTCTAGGTGAAAAATATGGAACGCTTCACGAATTTGCGTGTCATCCTTGCGCAGGGGCCATGCTAACCTTCTCTGTGTCGTTCCAATTTTAGTATATGTGCTGCCGAAGAGAGCACATACTCCCTGTTTTTGATGTTACAAACTTTAGGGTCTTTGAGATATGCAGGATCCTTGTATTTAACTGGTGTAAACCCCATTATTTGAGCTCTCTCTCTCTCTCTTTTTTTTCGTTTGGCTGCGTTGGGTCTTTGTTGCTGCGCGCGGACTTTCTCTAGTTGGCGAGCGGGGGCTGCTCTTTGTTGCGGTGTGCGGGCTTCTCTTTGCGGTGGCTTTTGTTGTTGCGGAGCACGGGCTCTAGGTGCACAGGCTTCAGTAGTTGTGGCGCAAGGGCTTAGTTGCTCCGCGGCATGTGGGATCTTCCCATACCAGGACTCGAACCCCTGTCCCCTGCATTGGCAGGCGGATTCTTAACCACTGCACCACCAAGGAAGTCCCAAGCGTATGTTTTTTAAAATAAAGTTTTTGCTTTGTGTTCTTCTTTCAACAATGCATGTCTTGGGCTTCGCTGGTGGTGCAGTGGTTGAGAATCTGCCTGCCAATGCAGGGGACACGGGTTCGAGCCCTGGTCTGGGAAAATCCCACATGCCGCAGAGCAACTGGGCCCGTGAGCCACAACTACTGAGCCTGCGCGTCTGGAGCCTGTGCTCTGCAGCAAGAGAGGCCGCGATAGTGAGAGGCCCGCGCACCGCGATGAAGAGTGGCCCCCGTTCGCCACAACTAGAGAAAGCCTTCGCATAGAAATGAAGACCCAACACAGCCAAAAGTAAATAAATAAATAAAAACCCCAAAAGACAAAAAAAAACAATGCATGTTTCATTGGTTTTCAGTACTTCATTATGAAACTGAAGCTGCTGCTGATCGTCTTTCTGTTAGGAGTGATTTCGTTGTAAAATAGGATGCTCCTGGCATGGCAGCCAGGTAAAATAGAGGAAAACCAGTGAAATTTAAATTTCAAATAAACACATTTTTGTCAAGAGTGTTCTGTGTGTTTCCTCTTCTAAGTCTTTTTTGCATTGAGTAGATGACAGCTGTGGTTTTGTCTACCTGGCCTTTATTATGTTGAGATATGTTCCCTCTATACTTGTTGAGATAAAGGCCTCCTATTTGGATAGGATGCCATTCTTTTTCCCCGTTGGTGCACACCCTCTAGCTTTCTAAATGCCTACTCAGAAATAGGTTCTTCTCCTTGGATGGATCTAGAGACTGTCATACGGAATGAAGTAAGTCAGAAAGTGAAAAACAAATATCGTATATTAACGCATATATGTGGAACCTAGAGAAATGGTATAGAGGAACCAGTCTGCAGGGCGGAAATAGAGACACAGATGTAGAGAACAAACGTATGGACACCAAGGGGGCAAAGTGGCGGGGGGAGGGGTGCTGGTGGGATGAATTGGGAGATTGGGATTGACATATATACACTAATATGTATAAAATAGATAACAAATAAGAACCTGCTGTATAAAAAAATAAATAAAATAGGGCTTCCCCAGTGGCGCAGTGGTTAAGAATCTGCCTGCCAATGCAGGGGACATGGGTTCGAGCCCTGGTCTGGGAAGATCATACATTCCGCGGAGCAACTAAGCCCGTGGGCCACAACTACTGGGCCTGTGCTCTAGAGCCCGCGAGCCACAGCTACTGAAGTCCGCGTGCCACAACTACTGAAGCCCGCGCACCTAGAGCCCGTGCTCTGCAACAAGAGAAGCCACCACAATGAGAAGCCTGTGCACGGCAACGAAGAGTAGCCTCCGCTTGCCACAACTAGAAAAAACCCGCGCGCAGCAACAAAGACCCAACATAGCCAAAAATAAATAAATAAAAAATAACTTTTTTAAAAAAATAAATAAATAAAATAAAATTTAAAAATTCAAAAAATAAAAAAAAAGAAATAGGTTCTTCACACAATTCAGCTTATCGGCTGCTTTTAAACAAAAGTCTTTTACAACTTATTTCATGAGAAAAGAAAAAAGATTAGGTAACCCAATTTGGTTACAACCGTCAGATCTCAATTCTCTAACTCCCTCGAACTCTCCAGGCAGTGAGAGTAAATTCACTAGATCAGGAAAACCAATCTGTTTCCCCCCAAAATGCAAACCATAAAGTCTAACATAAATAAAATATGATAAAGATAATCTACAAAAAACCAACATGGTGTCCTCTTTAACAAATCATGGTTTCTCCTGGTGGAGTTTCCATGGAAAATTGAATCTACCCAGATTATTTAAAATGGTTCCATCCAAGACCTTTATCCAATCACTGGGATGATGAGGTTATAGGAAGCGACCCCTGGAATTTCCCCTGGCTCTTATATAAATAGACACATTTCAGCTCCAGACACACTTTGAGAGCCAGTCCCGGACTTGAGGAGGCTGAAGGCAAGAGGGCTCCAAGAGGTAAGTGACATGTGGGAATGTCTGAAGAGAATGCTTAGAAATCAGGAGAGATGGACGTGGGTTTCAGAAAGGTTTGGCTTTCTATTCACCTTGCATTAGCTCGGAGACCTTGGGAAAGCAGCAGTTCTCCCTCAAACCCCACACTAACTATGGTTGATTGTTGAACTCTTCTGTGAGATGAGAAGAACGTTTCCATAGTCCGTGGTGTGGTGTGCTGTGGTTCATTTTTTCAACTAGGGTTTCTGAACCGTGGCGCTATGGATATTTTGACCAGACATTTTTTTGTTTTCCTATAAAGGTGGATGTCAGAATTATAATAGAATGGATTATTGTCTGTGGTATGAAATATTGAACCAGTGGGGTAGTGATGTCCAGTATTTGGATGTGGGATGTATGGGAGAGGGAAGGGTGGAATAAAATGAAACTCATCTTGTTCATTCTTTTCCTTTTCTTTTCTTTTCTTTTTTATCCCAGCCTTCTGAACAGTGACTCTATTGCTGAGAAGAAGCAGAGGAAATCCCTTTCCACAGAGTTCAATTGGCACCAGCTCTACAAGTGTTTCTTCAGAATCCTATTGGAAAATTTCTCCGTCAACATGGCTGAGGACCAGATATTTTTCTGGAGTCGAGGAAAACTCCCCTACGGCCCTGGATCAGAGTCACCAGTGTCTGTGCCACACCAAGATACACTTGTGGAAAAGCCAGACTGTGACCAGGAAACGTGGCATGTTCACTTCAGAACGTTTATCAGCTCAGAGGAATCCGACCCCGTCCAGGATCTGAGGAGACTCCGTGAGCTCTGCCATCTGTGGTTGAGGCCAGATCTTCACACCAAGGAGCAGATGATGGACAAGCTTGTGCTGGAGCAGTTTATGATCTGCATGCCGCTGGAGTGTCAGGTCTTAGTCAAGGAAACGGGGGTGCAGAATTGCAAAGCCTTGGAGGACATGCTAAGAAATAAGCAGAAACCCAAGAAGTGTGTGAGTAGGAACCTTGGGATTGGTATGGGAAAGGGAGAGATGGGATGGGACCTGCAAGCTGGGGGTTGAACAAGATGGGATCTGAGTGGTTGACTCTAAATCACTGATATTCAAATGGGTGAGAGGTTTCTTTGGGCATCGTTGAGAGTTATTTTTGGCTGTCCCAACTTGAGGGATGTAGACCTTTTAAACAAAAAAAAGTGCGCTGGTACGGTATGATGCCATTGGATGCCTTGAGAGCTGCTTTCCAGGTCATATAGGAGACTGATCTCGATTGAGTTTTTTCCCTCACAGACCATAGTCCGCATACAAGGACAGGAGTTTCTTGTGCGAAGCTCAGAAGTTGAGATGGTTGAATCCGAGGCCAGTGACATGAACGATGAGAGAGACCAATGCAGGGAGCCCCGATCCCCTGTGAGTGAGATACCTCCAGAGAACGGCCAGCAGAAAAAACGAGAGCTGCATATTCTGACAGGAGCCAAGGACCTGTCAAGGAGGCAGGTGAGTGTGTGATGCCCTGGTCTCTGGAGAGAGTCTGGGAGAACTTAGAAGAGGTTCAGGTGGACATTGCTGCTAGAGTAATTGGGAGTTTTGGCAAAGGACAGGAATGGACCCATTGGCTTCAGGGATTTTCATGGATGCCTTCAGTTCCTAGACATTTTCCAGCTGGTGTGAGAATGAAGACTCATCCGTCTTTGTCCCTTTGCCATGAATACGTGTAGTTTTAAGAGTGGGAAGAAAGGAATCCTGCCTCAGTGGAATGGTGCTAGGTCAGTTTGCCGCGGGTAAATGCACTGACAGCTGATTTCCACATGGTTGCTTTCCTCAGAGGCACTTCATAGTTCACAAGATGGTCAACCCTTGGAGTTGAAGGAGTGGTTCCCAATTCGACTCATTTTTCCTCCTAGAGGACACTGGAGAATGTCTGGAGACAGCTGATTTGTCCAAATGGGGTTGGGTGTGGGGGAGGGGATGCTCCTGATTTCTAGTGAGTAGAGACTAGGGATGCTGCTCATCATCTTACCATGTACTGCGTAACCACCATCAGAAGGACGAACTCAAACCAAGTAGGAAAAAGTGATGAACTTGGGAGAATGTACCCAGGGTCCTTTGCTTCCAGAGTCAGGGGCAGAGAGTATTGAGATGACACAGAGAGATGTATGCATTGAGAATTCAGAGTGCCAACTGTGGTATCAAGACTAGATTGCACGATGTGGCCAGTAGAGATCAAGGACAGACTTAGGTATCAGGAGATGATTAGCAATTGGGGTGATGGGGGTGGCCCAGAAGAAGTCAGGGCATATCCCCCAAACTGATATTAAGAAAGTTGGAGTCTTAGATCATGATATGACAGGGATGGGGAAAGAGGAAACAGCTTTCCATGGACTAAGGTAGATGGGTTATTGACTCTGCTTGGTTGCTCCTTGTCAGGACCAGAAAGATCTCCTGCCAGAGACTTTTCCTGAAACAGGTGAAATGGAGGGTCTGACATCCAAGGAGAACTTGGAGAAAGACCTGATGGAAGACACGGAAGAGACAAGAACCCATCAATCTCAAGAGCCGGAACATCTGAAAGGTCCTGGTGAGTCTGGAAACTTGGAATTCAGAGGAGTTAGTGACTCCCTTCCTATGGTGGCTTGGGGCTGGGTACCCAGCATTACCATCCCTTGGGCGGGTGGGCGGGGGGAGTTGGTTCTCCAAACCAACCTTCTCCATCATCCCCTTTCCAGAGTGCATCATAGTCTAGACTCTTAGGTAGTTTAGTTGATGGGAAGTTCTCTGCCACATCAGCTCTGGGTTTCGATGAGGTTGGCACCATGGAAATGCTCCTTGTTAAATGCCGCGTGCTGAATCTCTTTTTTCAGAACATTCTGAGAGGGCAGAGGGTGGGAAGAATCCCCAAGAAGGAATTCGTATTTCAAATGTGGATGCTGAACGTTTTCCTCTCGTGTTCCAGAGGGAGAAGTTTCTACTAAGAGCGGATACAGAAAAGGTTCTCTGAGAGGTCTAAGAGGTTTCAAAAGGAAACAGGCCAACAGTCCCAGTTTCCAGGAAGTACATCAAGAAGAAACCACATCTTTGGACAAAGGAGAATTCTCAGGACAACTTGGGTCCCCCTTCATTGGTTCACCTAGCATGGTGGGACCCAACATTCTTCCTGAGGGAAAAGAAGCCCAGGCATGGGCACCCTATGAATGTAGGGAATGCAAGAAGAGATTTCCTTATCCATCTCAGCTTACCCTTCACCAGAGGACACACACAGGAGAGAGACCTTTTCGATGCAACACGTGTGACAAAGGGTTCATGCAGTCTTCGGACCTGCGAGCTCATGAGCGGATCCACACAGGCAAGAAGCCATACTGCTGTGATCTCTGCCCCAAGAAGTTCACCCATGACTCCACGCTGCGTGCTCACAAGAGGACCCACACCAAGGAGAAGCCTTTCCGATGTGAGCACTGTGACAAAGCCTTCAGCCACAGAGGGAACCTCAATGTTCACCGACGCACCCACTCTGGGCTCAAACCCTACGTGTGTCCCGAGTGTCACAGTGCCTTCTGTCAGCTGGGGACTTTCAAACGCCACCAGAAAACACATTCCAAATGACTCGTCCCAGTCCCTGCCCTCAGATGCCAGTCCCTTCTGATCCAAGAAGGAAATTCAGGACAATTTGTTACTTATGTAATATCAAGAAAGGATGACATTTGAAGAATTTAGGATTATACTGGAACCTAATGGGGTTCCACTCACGTGAATTAGGAGGATCCTTGAGCGCTAACTTATAGTTCCCTTTGGATTTTGTTTTCCACTTTAGTGTAGGCTATGCTTTTCTGACAAGCTTTTGCTCTGTGTTCTTCTTCCAACGAAGTCATGTTTCATTGGTTTTCAGTACTTCATCATGAAACTGAGGCTGCTGTCGATTGTCTTCCTGTTAGGCATGATTTCATTGTAAAATAGGAAGCTCCGTGTAGGGTGGCCAGATTAAATACAGGATAACCAGTGACATTTAAATTTCAAATAAACAAACACTTTTCTGTCAAAGAGTGTTCTGTGTATTTCCTCCTCCAAGACTTCTACGTGGAGTAGGTAATAGCTGTGTTCTTGTCTATGTGGCCTTTATTATGTTGAAATATGTCCCCTCTATACTTGTTCAGATATCGCTTCCTTAGGTGTTTACAAAACGGAAGGCTTCCTAAATTGGTAGACATCATTCTTTTTCCCTACTGGTGTTCAACCTCTGGTTTTCTAAATGCCTACTCAGAAATAGGTTCTTATAGTTGAGCTCATCACCTGATATTAGGGGAAAAAAAGTCTTTAAAAAGTTTTTAAAACTTTTTATTAATTTTATTTATTTATTTTGGCTGCATTGGGCCTTTGTTGCTGCATGTGGGCTTCCTCTCATTGCGGCGAGCGGGGGCTACTCTTCATTGCGGTGCGAGGGCTTCTCATTGCAGTGGCTTCTCTTGTTGCGGAGCACAGTCTCTAGGCACGCCGGCTTCAGTAGTTGTGGCTTGCTGGCTTTAGAGCGCAGGCTCCGTCATTGTGGCTCATGGGCTTAGTTGCTCCGCAGCATGTGGGATCTCCCTGTATTAGGGATCAAATCCTTGTCCCCTGCCTTGGCAGGAGGATTCTTAACCATTGTGCCATAAGGGAAGTCCTAGAAAAAAGTCTTTTAAGCCTTCTTTACATGAGAAAAAATAGTTAGGTAACCCAGCAACTATTAGATCTCTATTCTCTTTCTCCCTAGAACGCTTCATGCAAATGAGAAAATAATTCACTAAACCAGGAATACCAATCCACTTCCCACCCACCGACCCCCCCCCAAAAAAAGCAATCCATAAAAGTCTAGAATAAATAAAGTACAATAAAGAAGTCTCCCACAAAACAAATATGGAAGCTTCTTGAATAAATCATGGTTTCTTCTGGTGAAGTTTCCATGGAAAATTGAATCCACCTGGATTATGCAAAATGGTTCGTTCCACAACATTAACCCAATCACTCAGCTTACTGGGTAACAGTCGGGGACCCCTGGAATTTCCCCCAGCTCCATATAAATAGAGACATTTCATCTCCTGGCACAGTTTGAGAGCAAGTCTGTGACTTGAGGACACTGAAGTCAAGAGGGCTCTGTGGGGTAAGTCCCAAGTGGGAATGTCTAAAGAGAATACTTAGAAATCAGGACAGATAGAAGTGGGTTTCAGAAAGGTTTGGCTTTCGATTCAACTTTCTATTCTCCGAGCTAACTCGGAGACCTTGGGAAAACAACTGACCTCCCTGGATCCTCATATTAACTACGGTTGATTGTTGAACTCTTCTGTGAGATGAGAAGAACCTGTCACCCAAGTGAACCCAAAAACACTAATTCGGAAATATACATGCACCCCAAAGTTCATAGCAACATTATTTACAATAGCCAAGACATGGATGCAACCCATGTCCATCAAGAGACAAATGGATAAAGAAGGTGTGGTATGTATATACAATGGAATATTAGCCATAAAAAGAATGAAATAATGCCATTTGTAGCAACATGGATGGACCTAGAGGTTGTCATACTGAGTGAAGTAAGTCAGACAGAGAAAGACAAATATCATATGATGTCACTTATATGTGGAATCTAAAAAATACAACAAACTAGTATAACAAAAAGGAAGCAGACTCACAGATATAGAGAACAAACTAGTGGTTACCAGTCGGGAGAGGGCAGGGATGGGCAATATATGGGTGGGGGAGTAGGAGGTACAAACTTTTGGGTGTAAATTAGGCTGCAAGGATGTAGTGTACACCACTGGGAATATAGCCTATACATATAATATATATATATATTATATATTATATATATTTATTTATTTTTAAGATAGAGAATATTTAGCCATTGTCATTAATTTAATGTAACAATAAATAAGTGACAATTAACTCTTCTTAGCAAGTTTGGAACATTTCTCTGATGTCGATAATTGTAAACTGTTGGGTCAAGACACATGCACATTCATACAACATTTAGTATATGTTACCAGATACAATACCTGCCAGGAAACTAACACTTCACAATCCGGCCAGCAGAGAGCAGGGTGATCATTTTCCTACGTTCTTGCCAAACTGGATGTTGTACTTTTTGCCTCCAGTGGCACAAATAGAAGGCCATCATTTTGAAGTGTACCTCTTTGCTGGTTAGAATCTCAATATTGTTGCCTATGGTTGCTTTTTTTTTTAATTGAAGTATAGTTTATTTACAATGGTGTGTTAATTTCTGCTGGACAGCACAGTGATTCAGTCATACATTCTTTTTCATAATCTTTGCATTATGGTTTGTCACAGGATGTTGAATATAGTTCCCTGTGCTATACAGTAAGACCTTGTTGTTTACCCATCCTATCGATAATAGTTTGCATCTGCTAATCCCAAACTCTCAATCCATCCCTACCCCACCTCCTTCCCCCTTGGCAAACCATAAGTCTGATCTCTATGTCCGTGAGTCTGTTTCCATTTCACAGATGTGTTCATTTGTGTCTTATATTAGATTCCACATATAAGTGATATCATATGGTATTTGTCTTTCTCTTTCTGTCTTGTTTCACTCAGTATGACAATCTCTAGGTCCATCCATGTAGTGGCAAATGGCATTATTTTATTCTTTTTTATGGCTGAGTAGTATTCCATTGTATATATGTACCACATCTTCTTTATCCATTCATCTGTCGATGGACATTGAGGTTGTTTCCATGTGTTGGCTATTGTGAATAGTGCTGGATATAACCAATATTTTGTAATAACTGTAAATGGAGTGTAACCTTTAAAAATTGTATTAAAAATAATTTAAAGTGTCCAAAAAATTAAAATAAAATAAAATACAATAACCAGGACTTCCCTGGTGGCCCAGTGGTTAAGACACCATGCTCCCAATGCAGGGGACACAGGTTTGGTTCCTGGTCGGGGAGCTAATATCCCACATGCTGCATGGCATGGCCAATAATAATAATAATAATAAAATAAAATAACCAATGGAATCTAAAAAGTAAAAAAAGGGACAATATAACAAAAGAGTCTCACAGAATCAGAACAAACTAGTGATACCAGTGGGGAGAAAGAAGAGGGAGGGGCAAGATAGGTGAAGGGATTTAATTGGTACAAACTAGTAGGTATAAACTAAGTTACAAGGATGTAATATACAGCACAGGGAGTACAGTTAATATTTTATAATAAAGTATGTAGTATATTCTATATAAATATCGAATTACTACTTTGTACATCTGAAACTAATGTAATATTGTAAGGCAACTATACTTCAATAAAAAATAAAATGAAAAAATAAAGTAAAATAACCAGTTCTTCAAATAAGGAAATGTTTTGCTAACTGATGTTTCAAGGAATGAGTATCTGTTTTAAAAAAAATAAATCTTTCTGCTGTTAGTGTGGGAACTAATTTGATCCTTCATTTGGTAATTCACATGACCTGCCATTTTTTTCTTTTACTAGAATGGTATATTTAAATTTTATTGTGGGACTTCCCTGGTGGTGCCGTGGTTAAGAATCTGCCTGCCAATGCAGGGGACATGGGTTCAAGCCCTGGTCTGGGAAGATCCCTCATGCCTCGGAGCCGCTAAGCCCATGTGCCACAGCTACTGAGCCCGCATGCCATAACTACTGAAGCCTGTGCACCTAGAGCCCGTGCTCTGCAACAACAGAAGCCACCGCAAAGAGAAACCCGCACACCGCAATGAAGAGTAGACCCCGCTCGCCAACTAGATAAAGTCCGTGAGCAGCAAAGAAGACCCAACGCAGCCCCCGAAAAAAAAAAAATAAAGAAATTTATAAAGAAATATTATATTATATTGAAATATATCATTATTTTATTATATTATTTATTATTTTATATTTATAATTATTTATTTAAATTTTATTATTATTTACAATATATAAATATATTATAAATAATAAAATGAAATATTTTATTATACAGATCATTATTATTGACCCCAAAGTATTATATAGAGATCAAATTGTGCTTACTATATGATAATCTTCCAGTTAGATTATAACCTGTTTTATTTATTATGCTATTTTATGAGACTAAATTATGATTTTACATATTTTTATAATTTGTATTGAGGTATAGTTGATTAATATTACATTAGTTTCAAGTGTACGACATAATTATTCAAAATTTTTATAGAGCTTACTCCATTTAAAGTTATAAAATAATGTCTATACTCCCTCTGCTGTACAATATATCCTTGTAGCTTATTTATTTTACACATGGTCATTTGTAACTCTTAATCCCTTACCCCTATTTACCCTTCTCCCCAGTGGTAACCACTCGTTTCTTTTTTATATCTGTGAGTCTGTTTCCGTTTTCTTACATTCATTTGTTTTAATTTTTAGATTCCACATATGAGGGATAACACACAGTATTTGTCTTTCTCTGTCTGACTTATTTCAATATCATACTCTCCAGATCCATCCATGTTGTTGCACATGGCAAAATTTCATACTTTTTATGGTTGAATAATATTCTCTCTCTCTCTCTCTCTCTCTCTCTCTCTCTCTATATATATATATATATATATATCACATCTTCTTTATCCGTTCATCTGTTGATGGGCACT